TCCTGTCGCTTTTCCTTTGGTTGTATGACCTGTTATGTCAGGACACGTTATCGTTGGGGGCTGATAATCTATAAATTAGACAAATTTAATTCGTAAATATATTTAGTTGCAAAAAAAGGCGCTTCTGCAAACAAAGGACAAAGTATGTGGCTAAAATGGATACTGAGTCCTAAATTCTCTACTTGACCAGTGTAAGTTGACAGCCTAGATTCTAAAAACAATTAACAGCATTGCTCAGAGTAGACGACAATCAGTACCTACTTTGACCTGTTTTTCTCAGTCATTTGAGGGAAACGCGCCAGATTCGAAAATAAACACGCGCGTGACTGACTTCTCGGGCTTCCTTCTTTAATTTCTAGCATCTCGCTACTTTGCGGCTTAACACTCGCACGCGCGTGACTACCCTCCCTAAATCTGAAGAAAAAGATAAACTGCCTCACAGTCTATACTTGCTCAAAGTTAACGGATAGTCACATGAACTAAAATAATCATGATCCTGATTTCATAAAAAAATGACGTCTTTTATTGAAATTGACTAATTAGTGGTGCATGTCATTGCCCTGTGTTCTTTGAAGTGAAGTTCTGTTTGCTTACCTTTTCTTGTTTGAATCAAACTGGTGCCAGCGTTTATTACATGAATTTTTTTTTAAATTTTCATTGTCCATGTCCATTTATAGTTTGAAGCACCGGCTGCAAGTTTTAAATCCATTGATATCAAGCCCTTTTTTTCATATTTACAAGGGGGACCTATTTGTAAAACAGGTTGGCCTTCCACTATTTCTAGCATTTCTTACTGAAAAAGCGAAAAAATTGATTATATAATCAACTAAAACAAAGACGAAATTTGTGCTTTCAAATTTCAAGCGCGGATAACTGATTTGAATAGTACTATCCAATTTTGTTATCCAATGAATGTATGCTTTTCTCTGGATAGAGCGATTTTCGTATAACTTTGAAAAATGGTTTCCGAAATTGTTCGTTATCTGTTTTTAGTTTATCAGCCAATGGATGAAAAAATCAAAATATGGCTTCTTCGTTTTCCCGCCAAAGAAAGTCCTAATATGGAGGAGGCATTGGTAGATTAGCCAATAGGGTTGCAGTATGACGTTAAAGCGAAGTATCTGTTGATTTCTAGAAGTTCTCGGGCATGAGGTTTTTCTGACCCGAGCGTTCGCTTAACCAACAAAAGGCCAAGCGCGTTTTTATCCGTTCGATAAACCAACCAAATCGCTCTACTTTCGATAGTTTGTTGTTTCTGTTTTGTTCTCTCGTTTTCATTTCAAGGTCATACGAAAATCCCTCTAATTTTAGCAAAAACCTCAAACAAAAAGCGGAAAACGCTTGCCATGGCATTGAGGAACTTGAGCGTCCCATGCGCCATTGAGCTGACACGTTAGAACTCTCGAAGCTATGTGGGGTGCAGTAACTTCCGTAGTAAAGCCATCGGGACATAAAAATGTGCAGGATGAGTAAAATTTCATTGACTGGTCGCCACAGATACTTGGAACCACTGTTGCGTACTTGACGGACGGAAGTTTAGGGCAGCGAATTTCTAAAAATGAAAACAAATAAAATCATTTGCTTGAAAGAATAAAGATTCGGCTGTCAGGACGTGAACAGATCGACGATAATGCCTCTGGTGGTGCTCATAGCAACGGTTTAAACATTTATGACAGTTATTGATTTATATTAGATATGATTTATATACGTCGATTACCTTCACAGGTCGATGGAGTTCCAGACCATGTCTTGTCGTGTTGACAGACACGCACCTCAGAGCCTTTCAGCTGGTACCCAGTAAGGCATTTGAAGGAACAGTAGGTCTGGTAGCTTAAATCAGCACTGGAGCAAATACCAGTCGGAGGATCGGCGTTAGAGACGAAAAGCGCAGGACATGAAATAGCTAGAAATAAAATGAAAAGGGTTTACGAATTTGCATCCCGCGTGGCTCCCACGAAATCGCCAAGAGAAGAGTGATAACGTAATTTGTGTTAATCAGGATTGACATAAAGGTAAGGTCTATTGCCCATGACTACTCCCTTAGAAACCCTAACTCTTAGACGTCTTTTAAATGTAAAACCGAGCGTTTTAGGCCAAGCTTTTTCCCTAGTACTGTCCTAATGGCAAACGCAACATCCTTCAAAAATTAACTGTTAAATGTTCAAATTTTAAAAATTTAAATTCTTAGTATAACATTTTTTAGTAGCTATGATTGCAATTTATGCAACTCTTGTAGATTTTACTATTTTTAATTTTTTTGTAAACCCAGGCCCAATTAGGTTTTTGTAATTTTCCGAACCTTGTAAACACATTGTAATTCATTTTTAATGCGAGAATGTGTCGATTAAACATCTTTGTTATTATTATTATTATTATTATTATTATTATTATTATTATTATTATTATTATTATTATTATTATTATTATTATTATTATTAAAGAAAAATGTTGCCTGCACGGTTCTTAGAACTGGGGTCGGGTGTTGCGCCCGCTGTATCAA